GGGGGGGGGGCGGTGCATCGAAAGTTGCCTACATACAGGGGTTTTGTAGGTTAAATTGCCTACCTTCAGGCGGCTATATAGTGGCCCACAGGGGGGCGCGCCTGCTTTCAGGTGACTATCTTGTGAAGGAGGGGTAGGGCCGAGGGTAGGGCGATCTTTGCAGCGGTGGCTACCGCAGCTGCACTACTTTGAGTCTAGTCCTGTCGGTTCGGCAGACTGCAGCGGCACGAGGACTTCCCTCCCTCTGGCCGAGCGCACCCGGCGCACGCGCGCAGCACCAGTGAGTCTAAGAAGGGACTCCTCCTGGTGAACGGCGAACGCGCACTGCTTATAGTGTATTTCGACTAACGGAGGAAGAAGAAGAGCGGGTAGAACATAAACGTTACCGATTGGTCGAGAGCTGCCCACCTCTACGTCACGCCGATAGTGGAGGTAAGCGCTCGCCCAATCAGGAACCTTTATGTTCTACCCGCTCTTCTTCTTCCTCCGCCTCCGTTAGTCGAAATACACAATAGTAGGGGAGTGCCCGCGTCCACCACCACCACCTCCTGTACCGCGACCGCGAGCGGTTGTGGGATGGTCGACTGGAAAACGTTGTAAAAGTTGAAATGTCACGGCATGCTTTGGCCAAAAGAGTAACAAGAGCGCGCATCCAAATCAACTCGTTCTAAAAAGGGGAAAATGCATTTTACTTTAAATTCTCCAGATACACTGAAATCTCCCGACAGCGTACATGACATATACGCTGTGTGTGTATATTTCTATGCAAACGAACCTACGTTTCGTTTTGGACAATTTTTTTTACGCCAAAATGCACGATTTCGTACCAATCCTTGAAGCGAAGGTGGCATGTAAAAAAGTCTGACTTTCTCGGAAATCTTGGTGTGCACTTCACAACCCACAACCCAAATGTGTTCTTAGTACACACAGTGCAGGGTAAAAAAAGAACATCTTGGAATTCAGGTAGATTTCCTTGAAAACTGTCTTGAAATTAAAGTAGATCGCTTGAAATCCAACATGTCATTTTTACCGTGTGCCTTGTGTGTACTTGCCCTAAGAGAAAATAGACGTCTATAGATTTCGATAGATCGTCTAATGCCCGTCTAGCTGGTCTAAGTTTTTAGACGACTAGACGTAGATGACTAAAAGAGGTCTAATAGACATCTTTTGACATCTACGACTAGGTTTCGTCAAGAAACAGACGACCCGAGACGATCTATATCTTGTCTAACCTGTCTATGTACTTAGACGCGTCTAGCGCTAGACAAAGTGTAGACGTGTCGAGATGATCTATTCCCTATCTTCACCATCTACGACCTTAGACGTCTAGCACTAGACACTGTGTAGACGTGTCGAGATGATCTAACTCTAATCCATCCCATCTACAACCTTAGACGTCTAGCGATAGACAACGTTTAGACGTGCCGAGACGATCTAACTCCAATCTAACCCATCTATGACCTTAGACGTTCAAGCTTTAGGATTTTTAACGCAGTAGGGTATGAAATTTTTGATCACCTTTAGATAATTTGTACTCAAGCGCTCGCTTGTAAAAAACACCTGCAGACTTTAAACGTAATATCAACGGTAGGTCTCTTGGCCACTCTAAATCAAAGGGAAAGAGTCCCGAGTCTGGTAAGACGAATGCTACCGAAACCAGACTGACCTCACGTAGGAGGCAACTCGTGGCGTAGTGGTCAGCGTCGTGGGTTACCAGTCCGCAGTTCCGAGGTTCGAAACCGGGCAAGGTAAGGTAAAATAGTAAGAATTAATCAATTCAATGAGTTACAACCGAGATAACGATCTACCACAGAGAAAGAAGAAAAGCGCCAGAGGAAGAAAGAACAGAATCATTTTTGAATTTGAAGGTTGCATTATAAAAATCTTATAAATATCTAGATGTCATCTAAAAGGCGTCTAAATATAGACGTCTACTGATAGACGTCTAATAGATGCCTCCATAGAGACAATCAAGACGGTCTAATAGACGTCTACCGAAGACGTCTATTAGACTACTTGCCGTCTAGCAGTAGATGTCTATTAAACATCTAATAGACGTCTATTTTCTATTAGGGTGAAAGCACACACAAAAGGCAGTGTGTGCTAGGCATGGCACACACTTATCAGACTTATCAGACTTAGTCTGATAAGTGTGTGCCATGCCAAGCACACACTGTTAATGTCTTACGAAGAAAAATGCCAAATCCTTTGTAATACGAAGGATTCGGACGCTTCGTAGGGAGCAAATCCTTCGTAGGTACGAAGCATTTGGCATTTTGCTTCGTAAGACTTTAACTGGGCACACTTGTGGATGGTGGTCCGTATTCTGTCTCTGTCGTAAGATGTTCAGTATGCTGACGTTGTTTGCGCGACTCGGTGATGACGCGGAACGCTGACTCGGAGCAGGTGGTGGCGACGTCGATGCTCTCGGCGCCCGCTGGGTAGGCAGCCGTTCTGCTTCAGTGTGGATTTGGTCGTGTACGTCGACACTCGACGACGCAGGGGCGCACTGGTGGTTATAACCGGGAGTGTCGCTGATCTCTATCTTACACTCACTTGTCTACTCCTTGCTCACTCTGAATAGTCATTGAACGGGGTTCGAAAATAATAAGACTCCAAGTTACTAACTGTTCCAGCACTGACTCGACACACCGGGATTAGGTATCTACACTTGCACTTTCACTGACAAGCCCACGCGGGAGTAACTTTGGTCCAACCACACGGCGGACAGGGATCCACGACCAGCGTTGTCCGAACCGAACACCCAGAGAACAATTTAGTTGACACAACTATAAATCAGGGTCGTAAAAAATAAAATTTAGTTCCTAAAACCAACTAAAATTTAGTGACCCCATTTTCAACTAAAAATATAGTCGCAGCAATCAAATTAAGCCAGCTAGATCAGGGGTCGCAAACTCGAGCTATCCGCCAAGCCGCGCCTGCATAGGCCACACGCTCTACGAGCTCTTCGGCAAGAGAGTGAGAGAGACAGAGCCAGTGGTGTCGTCCGCCGGCCTGTGTGTCTGTCTTTGTCACTCCTAATGGCTCTCAGTGAGTGAGACAAAGACAGACAACCCGAGCGTGGCTCTCGGGAACCTCGGCTCCAGCCGAACGCAAGAGGTGCGCGGCTCTCGGCGAGCTGTGCTACCGGGCTAGGCGAGCCGCGCCTGGCTCGGGAGCCGCGAGTTTGCGACCCCTGAGCTATCCCCTTCTCTTCGCGTTGCACTTTTACAGATGAGCGTCAAGTTCACAAAGTGTCACGGTGGAGTGTCCTCAAACAATTGCGAGTATGCGTCGGATTGGGCTAGGAAAAACAACGTCTGCGCAGAGTTTTCCTCTCCCCTTACACCGTGGTATTCCCTCCGTCGCATGATCAAGCCGCCGTGGAAATGCCCCACCAAAGCGGTACGTAGCATTGGCCGACAAATCCCACCCCTTTTTTAAAAAAGAAAAAAAATCTTGTACCTTTGGTACCCACGTTTCTACTGTCATTCCGCCACTTTTGCTGTTTTACAGGGAATATACGAATTCCGTAACACCACTTTCGACGCGTCGGCGTTCACTGCATTGGCGGGACCCTACGTGAGTCCTGATGTCACGTGGTTAGTGCGCGCACTAGTGAAGGACCAGGACCGGAAGCTGTTCATGTGCACGGACATTACAGCGCGAATCCTCCCTTCAGCCAGAAAGAGTCGCAGCTGAGGACAACGTCGACGTTTTTAAATTTATTGCAGCAGAATTGTCGCTCTTTGTTGTTTTTTTTGTTGTTTATTATCTGAGTTGTTGGACATGTGTCTTGTTGAAGTCTAATAAAATGAATGCAAACAGACCGTTTTCACGCAGTGACAACCCATCCTTTATTTTGGTCACGCCGGGAAGATAAATTGATCGCCAAAATAGCAGCCGCGGGATGAAGAACAGAAGGCACGTCCCAGAAGCCGCCCTAAATCCGTTCTGAAAAATTAGTAGCAGGGATAATACACTGACTTACAATGTACTATTTTGTGCGTAAGCTGCCTATACAACTGTCATACATTACATACCTAGCTTACGTACACAATTTGTGTGAAATTATATACAATATTGTACGTAAGGTAATTTTCCAATATCGCTTAAAACTGTGCGCACGTTAAATTTGTGCATAGTTGTTCGTAAGCTACATATAATATAGTACATAGCAATTCTGTGTGCTGGAAAAAAAAAGGTTTGGCCCCAGCCCCTCTCTGTGTCACTTTTCCCGGGTGAGACGCCTGGCGGGTATGCAGTCCCGTCGAGCAGGTGTGCCGTGCGGGAGTGCCTACCAGCAAGCTTGCAGGGGCTCTCAGCCTCTCGGTAGCGTCACTCGGAGACCTCCGCCCCCTCCCTCTACCCAGAAAAGTTGTTTGCTCCTAAACGAGAGTCTACTTCTTTTCAACTGCTGTTGTCAGTTCAGCTACGGCCGATTGAAGTGATTTGACTTTGGATTCTTGCTCTTATTGAAGCATTTCGACACCTAAGACTGAAACGCACGCTACGCAGCCCATCCGCGCGTTCAGAACTCACGCAACGCAGTCGTTCACTCCACACAAAACACGCGTAGTTCGAGATCACCGCGCGCGCCGTGTCGAGCGGCGGGTTTCGGCGGGTCACCCGCCTGATCCGTAGCGCAGCGACCTACGACGAACTACGTGCGTTTGCAAAGCGCGGCGGCGAACTGCGGGAGTTCTGAAACGAGCGGATGAACTGCATGCGTTCCGAAACGCGCGTATCGCATATGAACTGCGTGCGTTTTAACGTTAGTGTATGGTGTCGATTTCTGTTTCAGCTTTGACGTCCACCTGTAAAATTCGTGAAAATAGAATGTTTTTAATTGATAAAGTCGAGGCAAATAAATATCAAATATGACTTTGGTTACTCATGCTAAGTTGCTGGCATTAGTTCACGCTGCTCACCTGCACAGCCTAACCGATCTTCTTTGTATACAGTGGAATGAGTATGTACACTTATAAAAGTGAGGTATAAACAAGAAATATGGACTGTTCTTCATTAAAAGCGATTAAATATTTACAGAATGTCATGAAAGACAGAGAAGCAGTCTACGAGCATAGTTGACAATGAGTGAAAAGTATCTAATGGTACATAGTCCTCAAATTACATCGTTTTCAGATTACACATTTATTGACGACCATTAATACACTGGAGACGCAAGTGTGTGAATGTCGCTCATTTGGAGGTGTGTGAATATTCATTCGTGCACTTAGAGGAGTACAAGTGTGATTTTTTTCTTATTTTTAGATAATTAGAAAATTCACACTTTACCCCTCTAAGTGTACGAATGGATATTCACACACCTACAGGTGAGCGACATTCACATACTTGCGCTTCCAGTGTACAACACCACTCTCAAAATGTAGTTTCAACTGTAGTCGCAACTGTAGTCTACACTACACTACTCTACACAGTTAAAAGCTTTCAGTGATTTTCACTGTAAGCTACAGTGAAAGCCTGCAGCATTGTACCTTGCGGTGATTTTCACTGTCAGCTACGGTGAATTTCACTGTAAGCTACAGTCAATATCACCGTAAGCTATAGTGCTGCAAGCTTTCACTGTAGCTTAAGGTGAACATCACTGTAAGCTTTTAACAGTGTATTGACCGAAGCACCCAGGGTGGCCGTAATGGGCCACAGAGTACGTCTGTCATTCGCCGTTACGAAACTGCAAAGTTTTGTCTAAGCAAGCTCTCATAGCGCCTGGTAGGTAGGCAACATATCGCTTGCACTGCATGGGTGTACTGCGGGCTGGCCTACCCTGATCCTCGCAGGCGCCGAACTTCACTTATTTACCGATATTGAATCTGAAAAACCAAAAAACCAAAAAGACAGACGCGCTCTCTAGAAAATCATTTAGTAGGGAGTCGGGCTGCACCACCAGGAGATCTGTAAGTTCCACTGAGTTTTATCGTGTCGCTCGTTCACACGTCACCGCAGCCCGAGCCCCTGTGGGCAATTCTAGGCGTTACGCACGGACATTCGTAAGCAAAAATCACTCGTTTATTCTAGTTTTGGAAGGGAAGATCGAAGCGAATCGCATCGACTAAAGGCGTGTTTTAAAGTGCATTTGGAGAGCTATCCGATGATATGTGTACGGTTGCTTTGCGGTGATCCGTTTAGATTTTATAAATAGGTGAAGAGGCCGTTACGCACGGACAAAAAACGGA